AGGTCGCAGGACTCTGGGGGAGCTCAGACTCAGGACGACGGAGGAGTGGGGGGGCCTTTCGAGGAAGCCCCTCGCTGAGAGGACAGGAGCATGGAGCCTTCACTGGGAGCTTGGAGGTAGCTTTGGAGAGGGTCGGGTGTGGCCAGCACCTCCCTGAGCCTGTGGGCCTAGTGGACGTGGAGCCAGGGGTGGGTGGGAGACTCCTGGGTCCGTGGATGTGGCAACTCAGAGCTCTGCAGCTTCCTGCCATGCTCTGGAGGGCCCCGCTTCCAAACTGACTGACCCACTGTGTGCTTGCTCTCCTCCCTAAGAGGCCGCTGTTCTGAGAGGCAGAGGAAGGGGCACAAACCCACAAACTCACACCCTAGTCACACACACAGCCCCAGATGCTGACAACTCTACGCACAGGCATGGTGACACTCCAACTGTCACACTCACCATGTTCCCATGCTGAACTTTGCTCTCACTGTGCTGAGAACAGAGGGCTGAGGAAACCAGGTCCCCCCACTCCATAGAGCCTTGAGGATGCCTCTGCCAGAGGCCGAGGGGGTCTGTGTGCACAGCACCTTCTCCTGGCACAGCACAGGTACGGCCTCCTCATGAGGGAGGGGGACTTCAGTCAGGGGACCTGGGTGCCCACCATCTGTGCAGCCCTGAGCACCTGAGGAACTCGAGCAGGTGGCCTCAGCTCTGGGAACCTAGGTCTCCTCATCCGTAAGGTGTGGGGGATATTAACACCTTCCCTCCTGGGTGGTCTTGGGATCATAGGAGGTAAAGCACCTCAGACACCAGCACAGTGCTTCCCTCAAGTAGCACTCGGTCACTGTCCTCATGGCAGGTGAGATAACAGGGCAGCAGAGCTGGGGACAATCCCACAACCAAGCAGCATCCATTGAGGGGCTCAGTGATGCCCACCCTGCACCCAGCTGAGCCTCTGAGGAACTGATAGGGGTGCAGCCCCTCCTGGTTGCGCCCACCATCTGCTGGTGACTTGGGCGTGTAAGCTCTGCTGGGGCCATGCACCCACCATGCGGCCCAGGATTGTCGAGCCCGAGACAAGGCTGAGAGATCAGGCCAATAGAGAATCAATCGAGTCCTTTTTAGATCCAGTTTATGACTTATGTGGACAGAGAAAGAAAGACTAGCAGAAGAGGCCAGTTTCTCATGGCCCTGATGGGCTGTGACGGGACACCCTCTTGCTGAGGACCCCATTTCATCCTGCAGCTGTGCCCTGGGGGTCTGAGGCCTGAAGTCTCATTCTTCATCCTGACTGGGAGGTGATGAGGAGCTGCCTCCTGACAGCCTCCAGGGAGACGGGGAGAGTGGGAGACGCCTGGGAGCAGCTCCTCTCAGCCCCCCTCGCCCTTGTCCCTGATCAGCTGCAGCTCAAGCCATGCCCGTGTGTGACACTGACCCTCTCAATCTCCAGTTGCTGTGCTGGACATGCAGTAAGCCCTTCACTGAGACACGAGGGCTTGGAGAAGGAGGAAGGTTTATTCGAATTGACCAAAATGAGAAGGCAGGAGGAAAGGTTCTCTCCTCTCCACCTTCACAAGAGAAGAAAGCAGGGGATTCTATAGAGCTAAGGGGCTTGAGAGGAGGAGTTCTAGAGAAACAAGGGGAAATCTGTTTGTTTCAGTCCAGGTAAGCCCGTGGGCAGTCAGACTTCTGCACGTCAACTGCACCTGGGGGCTGCTCACCTGTCGATGCCGCTCCCTTGAAGACATTCTTTTTCTTCTGCAAAACAAGCTCATAAATCCTTGTGACCCTTGAGTCACCCCTCAGGTCAAACAAGAAAACAGCAAATTAACAACATTAACTTCTTTTCATCTGTGTCTGGGTTGGGAAGCACGTGGAAGGGTAACCACGTTCTTACTGAATATTGACAGTAACCCTCAGGTACCTGGCTTCAAGAGGAAGGTCAGGAAAGGTCATGAGGGAAGACGGAAGAGCTGACTGCAGACCTTGAGGAGGGGCAGGCTACGTCAGGTGGGTGGGGATGAGGAATGGCATGCCAGCAAAGGGAACAGCAAGAGGAAAGGTGCAGAGGGTGAGGCAGTGTGGCCTTTAGGGATCTGAGTCAGTTGGAGTGGAAGGTGTAGGGGAGGTAGAGGCAGCAGGAAACGCAGCTGGGGCTGGGGAGGGGCAGATGCCCAGTGGCCTCGTGTCGGGCTTGGCATTTGGACTTTATCGTCAAGACCTGGGGTTTGGCTGGGCAGGCCCCTTGCCAGGTAATGATCGTCCTGGTGTTGGGGCAAACAAGGGTGAGCCCTGCAGGGAGCCTCCCTTCCAAGAACTGGACTGAGGAGGGGTCTCCAGAAAGAGGAGACCCTCCCTCGGCACCTCTCTCAAGTGCCCTCACCCTAATTTATGACCACAGGATGTGGGAGGGGCCTGAGGAACCCAGCCACTCCAACCCGAGGCCCCTGTCCCCCTCGGTCTCTTGTCGACCCCAACAACTCTGTCCCGGGGCAGGGGACCTGGGTGTAGGCGGTCTCAGAGCTCTCCAGGGAGGAAGCTGGACTAATCAGGAGAGCCCGGCGGGAACCGGGGTCAGGGGCTGAGATCTGGAGTCAAGCGGCCCAGGTTCTGGTCCCTGCTGTGACCTCAAGCAGGTCACTCAGGGTCTCTGGGCCTCGGTGCCTCCATCCGTAGAAGAAGATCTTAATAAGATCTTCATCCAAGAGTGATTTGATGGCCGAGAAGGAAGGTCTGGAGAGCAGTTAGCCGGAGGGCCAGCGGGAAGAAATGCCCCAAGCTGAAGCGAAAGCCCAAGTCCCTTCCCTGGGACCCCAGGAGGAGGAGGGGCCCCAGGAGACCAGGGAGGAAGGAGGGCTGGGCCTGGGCAGGGAAGGCCCTCAGGAGTGGCCCAGACTGGGGACTGAGCAGGACGCAAAGGGAAAGGAACTTGGGAGAAGGTGTCTCGAGTCCCGAGATCTGGGAAATGGGGCTGCGGTCAGCAAATAAGCCACCCCGAGGGTCTCCGCATCTTAGCCCCAGCACCTGTGAACGGGGCCCTCCGTGGCAACAGGGATTGTGCAGGTGTGATGGGGTTAAGGACCTTGAGATGGGGAGATTACCCTGGATTGTCTGGGGCCCCACGTGGGGTCTGTCTGAGGGAAGGACGAGGCCAGAGCATCAGAGTGAGGGGACCTGTAGGATGGAAGGGGAGGGCAGAGAGAAGGGGAGAGACTGATGACGCTGCCTTGGGCCTTTGAAGTTGGATGGAGGGGCGGCAAGGCAAGGAGTGTGGGAGCCTCCAGAAGCCGGAAACGGCCAGGGGGCAGGTCCTCCCTGGACCCTCCAGGAGGGCGACCAGCCGGCTCCTTGACTTCAGTCATGAGGCTCATTCCGGACTTCTGACCTCAGACCTGCGAGCGAATAAATGCATGTTGTTTAACCACCAAGTGTGTAGTGATGTTACAGCAGCCGCAGGAGACTAACGCAGGAACCAAGGGAGAGACTCACTGAGGATGCTCAGCGTGGCGCCTCCCTGGCCCTCTGCCCCAGGGACACGTGTCTGATCTGCAGCCACTGCCCCCATCCTTAGAGTGAGGTGGAGGAGCCGGAGCCCAGAGGCCTGGCGTGAAGGGCTGGATGGGGCCAGGACAGGTTCTCTCACTGCAGCCCTCGTCCTCAGAGGGCAGCTGGCAACCCCAGACCCCGGGAGCCTCACAGCATCACAGAGTCCCTAAACGGGACCTGGTTTACCGCTGGCATCCAAGATCCCTGGAGATGATTCCCAATACATAATGCCCCCTGCCCCCAGGAAGGTGGTAGGTGACTTTCTGTGCTACATGCCTGAGAAGATAACTCCCCCTTTGGCAGAGCTAGGGCATGAGTGGGGAACAGCTCAGGGGGCCCAGGACACCCAAGGAGGTGTCAGACAGGGGTGGGAGCAGCCTTGGGCGTGTGGTGTGTGCAGGGTGGTAGGGTTTTGTACCAAGGAGCCACCCTGGATCCAGGGTGAGGATCTTGCCTGGCTGGACTCCCCAGGCAAATTGGGGGACTGTGATTACATATGTCCTCCCCTCCCCCTCAGGAAGGGTGAGCTGGTAGTACTGGAGGCAAGAACACAGGGGCCTCCCCATGCAGGGGCAGCTGTACCAGCTCGTGGTCATCACCACATCCTGAGGCTGCCGGGTGATCACTGGGTGTGTCAGAGCCTGATTCCCATCAATGCTGAGGCCTCGGGTGAAACGTGTCTCCACTTTTAACTATGGTACAAGATGACTGGCCTGAGTGTTGAGACGTCAATTTCCCTCAAGCAAAGGCTTTGTTTAATCTCAAAGAAATTATGAGGCACCTATTTCCCTCTTTGCATGGGTTCTTGGGGAGCTCAGAGCTTACCTTTGTCAAGTGTTGAGCCTCCTGGCAGGGCTTTCGTGTGACAGTTTCCTTCCTGGCTTCCCCCTAGTCCTCTTAGACCTCTGAACCTGCCATTGGGTGAGGATCGAGATGGGCTCCAGATTTAAGAGCCAGGGAGCCGATGCTGCTGGAGTGTCCTGGACCCCATGGGTAGTCCAACCCTTAGGAGTGACAGGGAGGGGGTGAGGGTGGGCAGGAGCTGATCTGGGGAGGGAGGAAGGAGGGCATTAGGAGGCGAGGGCCAGGAGCAGAGGGGTCCAGGTCAGAGCAGGGACTCTGGGCTGAGGAAAGAGAGGACAGGAAGGGTGTAGAGGGTTCTGTCCTGGGCAGGGAGGGAGCCTTACCTAGACGCCGCTGGCCAGGGACAGCTCCCACCAGAGAGGTGGCAGGGAGTGGGAACGGCCCTGTGATGGAAGAGGAACGAGAGGAAGGAGAGGGCAGAGGGACTGATGTTTGGTGACTAGACTTCTCATGTCCTGGCGGGTTTCCTGGCAGATGCCCCCAGGAAACTGTGAGGCTCTCCTGTTGGGTTACTGGGTGCCAAGGATTCCCAAACCCCACCCGGAGAATCGTGGAGAGGCTGCAAATTAAATATGAGACAAGAAAAAAATGAGCAGAGAGCACGATTTCTGATTGACAAAAGGACATTTTATTGAGAATGGATTGGGTGCAGGGAGGATGACGGGGTTGGAGGGAGACCTCGCAGGTGTCCTGCAGCTCCAGGCCCCTGAGGGTAGGACAGGCTCAGGGTCCTAAGAACACTGTGAGGAGGCCACTGTCTTCTCCACGGTGCTCCCTTCATGCGTGACCTGGCAGCTGATGCTGCTGTAAGACTTCCACATGGCAGGGGACAGCGTCAGGTAGCTGCTGGCCGCGTACTTGTTGTTGCTCTGTTTCAAGGGCTTGGTGATCTCCACGCCCTGGGTGATGGGGGTGCCGTTTGCCTTCCAGACCACTGTCAAGTTGCTGGGGTAGAAGTCACTGATGAGACACACCACTGTGGCCCTGTTGGTACTGAGCTCCTCAGAGGAGGGCGGGAAGAGAGTGACTGAGGGCGCAGACTTGGGCCCACCTGTGTGGACAGCAGGAGAGTCCAGGGTGATGGGCAGTCCCTTTCTCTACAGCCTCATGACTGTTCCCACAGAGCCTGTGCCTGTTCACCCAGGGGACCCTCCTTTCTTTCCTTCCTTTCCTTTCCACTCAGCCCCTGACAGCAGACAGCCCCTCACCCTCCCAGAAGCCCTTCCAAGTCACCTCTCCCAGGGGACCTGGTCACATGCTCCATCTGCAGCCTCAGTCTCCCCGTGTGTAAGCAGGGCAGGCTGTACTCCCTCCTCCTGGTCTGGAGTCTGAGTCTGGAATCCTGAGCCCCAGCCCGGCCTCAGCTCTTCCAGCCAAAGCCAGGGGGCTCCTCTGCGGCTCTGCCCTTGTCCCTGTCCCTACTGCCCTGACTGTAGGAACCCTCACCCCGGCTGCGTTCCTTGGGCTGCTCCCCCCAGAGGACAGGCACAGTGGCCTCCACAGCCACCCCAGCACCTCCGGGGTCTCCTGATTTTACGGAATAGCCGTGTAGCTCTGAGCCCCCCATTCACTTCCCCGTTTGTCGTCTCCTGAGCCCAATGCTACCTTTGAGGGAGGCGGGAAGCCAACCTTGGGACAGGTGAGACCCTGGGTCCCAGGGATTATGGCGACCCAGGGCCAGATGAGCCTCTGCCCCACGGGAACTGCTCCTTTCTGACCACCGTCCAGGAAGCACCAGGCTTCCGGCCACCTCGCCCATTTCACCTGTGGCTCAGTGTCCTCAAGGCCCAGCAGAGGCCCCGAGAGCGCCAGCCTAGAGGGAGCTGGACCTGTCTCTCTGCCCTCCATGAGCCTCCTCTTGAGCTGCCCTTCTGTGTCCCTGGAGAGAAGGGTCACAGTCCCACACTTGTCCCTAGCCTCCTGTGTGGCTCCTCCACCCTGGATGGGCATTGAGCCCTCAGCCTAGACCTTGCGATTCAGGGACTATCTCGAAGGCCACTCCAGTGCCCCTTGTCAGAACCTCAGGCCTCCATGTGGGCATCTGCCCTAGGAGAGGGAGAGGGGCCCCTGTTCCTGGGTCAAACCTTCAGCCCAGGCCCTGGGATCTGCCACATCTAACTGTAAGACTCCAGAGGTGGCTGCTCCTGCTGTTGGGTCCTTTTTGCTGGTTACCCTGAGACTAACCCCACACCCAGGTCCCACAGAGGAAGGTGGGAGTTAGTCCTAAAGGCTGGGAGGGCAGAGGGGAAGCACCCCCACACAGACAGAAATGACTTTCCTAAGACAGCAGAGGGGAACGGTGGTGAAACGTACTTACCTGTGACAGTGAGCTGGGTCCCTTCGCTGAAGATATACCATGGTGGCTGAACGTCAGACCAAAACCCACCGGGCCAGCACCTGGGGCCTGTCCCTCGGGGGCCAGGTCGCAGTGGGAACCTGGTGGGCATGATGGGCACAGGGCTGTAGCAGGCGGTGCTGTATCTTGGGGCTGGGCAGGTGGGTGGCCAGCCCCCAAGAGAGGCCAGGGCAGCCCTGGGTGGACTCACAGCCCAGAGGTGGCCCAACACCCAGCCTCCTGTCTGAGGCAGGTGACACCCACACCTTGGAGTCACCCAGTGTGTGTGCCCCCTCTCCGAGGCTCTCCTTGTCACCACTGAATCCTCAGGGCTGATGGTGACACTGCACACAGTAGGTGCTTGGCAAATCCATGAGTGCCTTGTCCTCTGGTGTGGCGTGGTAAAGTGAGTCCTGAGCTGGCTCAGACCTGCTCGACCTTTCAGGCCTCATCTTCGGGCCTCTGAGTGTTCCTCCCACAGTCCAGCTGGCAGGCGTCCTCCCTGGGCCCATGGACACGGAGTCATTCCTGACTCACAGTGCTCCCCCTTTGAATCAAGACACAATTCAGTTCACCTCTTTCCTGAAGACTTCTCTGATCTCTCAGACCACTGGCTTTCTGTCCATCTGCCTGTTCATCTGTCCATCCAGCCATCGTCTGTCCATCCAACCATTATCTATCGATCATCCATCCATCCATCCATCCACACATCTATCCATCAGCAACAGCTCCCAAGCTCCTGTCTATGCCAGGCACTGTTCTATGTGCTGGGACATGGGAAGGTGCCCCTGGCTCTCACCCCTGTCTCTCCCTGAAACCTCTCAGGTCAAGGCCAAGAAGGCCCTTGTCCCAGTCAAGTCCAAGATCCCTCCCCAGTTCCCTTTGTACTTTATGTCCCTGCAGGATGCAACACAGGGTCGATCGTTTTTCCAGTGATTCTTTTACCCTGGGCATCTGAGACCCTCTACTCTCTTCCTCCTCTGGCTTCCCTTTCTCCTCAGCCCATGTATGGCTGCTGACTCCCAGACCATTACCCTGGTCCTTCTTTGCCATCTTCTCACATTGTGGACTCCCCCTACTGCCCATATAGTTAGGCTTGAGTCTATCTCAGCTTCAAACCCTCTCCTTAGCTCCACCTAAATTGCCTACTGACCATCTCTAGCTGGATGCCCAACAGGAATCTCAAACTCTCCTTGTCCACATGAGACTGACCATCTTTCTCCCAACCCAGCTCTTTTTTTGTCTTCATCTCAACACATCCGACTATGAGTTGGAAACCTGTGTTTAGATTCCGCATCTAAATATTCCTTTTAAAAGTTAAAACAAGGCTCAAAATAATTAAGAAACAACAAAACCACCCCCTGAGACTCCCAAACCACAAGAAGCCCCAGGTTTTGTTTTTGCTGATTTTAATTTCCAACTCATTCAAGGATGCAGCACTGAGTTGGGGCTTTTTGGATGCAAGCATCTTGCCAGAGGGTTGGGCCAGTGTGTTCCCATCTTAGAAACTAGTCCAGTAAGCTGTGGTTGGTTTTGTGATGCAAATATAAGATTTCTTTTGCTTTAAATTTTTAAAATCGTTTTAAAATTATAAGAATATCGCACATATAACACAATTGAGCAATGCAGAAGTGTATTTAAAAAGTGTAATATTTATCTCTCCATCTCTCTCCGGCTATGTAGTGCCAATTCCTTTTTTATTTTACTGTGCTAAGATATACATAGCATAAAATTTACCACTTTAACTCCTTCTATCAAGCCAACATTACCCTAATACCAAAACCAGACAAAGACATTATAAGAAAAGAAAACTACAGACCAATATCTTTCATGAACATGTACGCAAAAATCCTCCATGAAATATTTGCAAATCAAATCCAATAAAATATTGAAAGAATTGTGCACTATGACAAGTGGGATTTATCCCAGGCATGCAAGGCTGGTTCAGCATTGGAAATCAATTAATGTAATCCATTGCATCAACAGGCTAAAGAAGTAAAATCACACGATCCTGTCAATAGACGCAGAAAAAGCATTTGACACAATCCAACATCCATTCATGATGAAAACACTCAGTAAACTAGGGATAGAGGGAACTTCCTCAAGTTTCTAAAGAATATCAACAAAAAACGCTACAGCTAACATCACCTTAATGGTGAGAAACTTGAAGCTTTCCTACCAAGGTCAGGAACAAGGTAAGGATGGCCCCTCTCACCACAGCCTTTCATATCATACTAGAAGCCTTAGCTAATGCAAAAAGACAAGAAAAGGAAACAAAAGGTATACATATTTGCAGGGAAGAAAGAAAACTGTCTTTTTTGGTAGATAATAAGACTGTCTTTGTAGAGAATCTAAAAGAATTGACAAAAAAACCCTCTTGAAACTAATAAGCAATTATAGCAGGTGCAAGATACATGGTTAATATACTTCAGTCACTTTTCTATATACTAGCAACGAACAAGTAGAATTTGAAATTAAAAACACAATGTTATTTACATTATCACCCCCTAAAATGAAACACTTAGGAATAAATCTAACAAAATATTACAATAGCTATATGAGGAAAATTACAAACTATGATGATAAATAAATGGAGGCATATTCCATGTTCATGGATAGAAAGACTCAATATTGTCAAAATGTCAGTTCTTCCCAACTTGATATTAGAGTCATACAATTCCAATCAAAATCCTAGCAAGAAATTTTGTGGATATTGATAAACTTATTCTAAAGTTTATATAGAAGGGCAAAAGACCCAGAATAGCGGAAACAATATTGAAGGAGAAGAGCAAAGTTGGGGGAGTGACTCTATGAGACTTCAAGCTACAGTAGTCAAAACAGTATGGTATTGGCATAAACACAGGCATATAGACCGACTGAATAGAATAGAGACCCCAGAAACAAACCCTCACAGATACAGTCACATGACTTTGGACAAGGATGCCAAGACCATTCAGTGGGGAAAGGATAGTCTTTTTAACAAATGGTGCTAGGAAAACTGTATATCCACATGCAAACGAATGAAGTTGGGACCCCTTACCTTACCACGATATACAAAACATAAACTCAAGATGGATAAAAGACATAAACGCCAGAGTTAAAACAACAAAACTCTTAGAAGAAAACAGGGACAAAAACTTTCACTACATTAGATTGGCAATAATCTTTTTGTTTTGACACCACAAGGCCGCGGAAAATAAAAGAAAAACTAGACAAATTGGACTTCTTGAAAATTTTAAAATTTTGTGCATCAAAAGACAGTGTCCACAGAGTAAAAAGCAACCCATAGAATGGGAGAATCTATTTGCAAATCATGCATGTGATAAGGGGTTAATATCCAGAATATATTGGGAACTTCTAAAACTCAGTGACAAAAAAACCCCAAACAACTCAATTCAAAAATAGGCAAAGAAATTGAATAGACTTTTTTCCAAAGAAGATGCACAAATGATAGATAAGCACATGAAAAGATTCTCAATATCACTAATCATTAGGAAAATGCAAATCAAAACCACAATGAGATACCACTTCACATTCATTGGGATGGCTACTATCAAACAAAAAGAAGACAAGTGTTGGCAAGGATGTGGAGAAATTGGAACACTTGCGTACTGTTGGTGGGACTGTACAATGGTACAGATACTATTGAAAAAGAGCATAGAGGTTTCTCAAAAAAATTAAAAATAGAATTACCATATGACCCAGCAATTCCATTTCTGGATATATCCTCAAAAGAACTGAAAACAGGGTAACACACAGCTATTTGTACACTCATGTTTACAGCAGCATTATTCACAATAGCTAAAACATGGAAGCAACCCAAGTGTCCATTGACCAATGCATAGATAAGCAAAATGTGTATATGTATACACAATGGAATTTTATTCAACTTTACAAAGGAAGGAAATTCTGCAATATGCTACAACATGGATGAACCTTGAGGACATTATGCTAAGTGAAATAAACCAGTCACAAAAAGACAAATACTGTATGATTCCACTTATATGAGGTACTTAGAGTAGTCCAAATCACAACGACAAAGGGGCTGGCAGGGAGGGGAGAATGGGGAGTCATTGTTTAATAGATACAGAAGTTTCAGATTTACAAGATGAAAAGAGTTATGAAGATGGATGGTGGTGATGGGTATACAACAGTGTGAATGTATTTAGTATCACTGAATTTACTTAAAAAGGATTAAGATGGTAAATTTTATGCTATGTGTATTATAACACAATAAAAAAGAAAAGATAGGGGCCAGTCCCAGTGGTGTAGTGGTTAAGTTTGCACGCTCTGCTTTGGTGGCCCAGGGTTTGCAGGTTCAGATCCCAGGTGTGGACCTAATACCACTTGTCAAGCCATGCTGTGGCGGCATCTCATGTACAAAGTAGAGGAAGATTGGCAGCGACTATCTTCCTCAAGCAAAAAGAGCAAGACTGGTAATAGATGTTAGCTCGGGGCTAATCTTCCTCACAAAAAAAGAAACAGAAAGATAATATTTAAAGAAAAAAGAAGGAATATATGGTCTTAAGGAAATATTGAAAAATAAAGAAAATCATGAAGAAGAAAGTTAAAGTTAAAATTATTTGTAAGTCCAGTACAGAGGGATAAATATTATTAATGGTTTTGGTATATTTTCTTCCAGGCTTTAAAAGAGCATATACAATTATATTTTAAAACAAAGTTTATATGAGACTTCTTATTTTCTTATGTAAGTATTTAATGCTATAAATTCTCTTCTAGGTACTGCTTTAGCTGTGTCCCACCAATTTTGATATGTTGTGTTTTCTTTTTCATTGAATTCAATTATCCAAGTCTCCACCTTTAAGAAATTAGAAAAGTAATCAACTCAAACCCAAAGAGAGGAAACAATAAAGAGCAGAAATCAATGAAATGGAAAACAGAGAAAACAAATAAAACCAAAATCTGGTTCTTAAAAAATCAATAAAATTGATTAAACCTCTAACCATACTGACCAAGTAAAGAAGAGAGAAGACACAAAGTGCCAACATCAGGAACGGAAGAACATCGCTAAAGATCCTACAGTCATTAAAATGTTAATAAGGGAATACTGGGAACAACTCCATGCAAATAGATGTCAGCA